AGTCCTGAGGCGGGTTTCCCCGCGAGCGCCCCCTTCTGGGTGGAGCCCATGGGGTCGTCTGATCGGGCGTTCGCGGGCGCTGTGCGCCACTGGAACGGGCGCGCGACTGCGCGCGCGAGTGACTCCGCCCATGATGTCGTGGATGATGTCTCTCCCCTTCCCATTCTTCATCACCGTCACCAGTTCAACGCACTCGCCCCCGAGCCGGGCGGCTCGCAGACCGGTCGCGCCGCGAAGTGAGAGCCTTCGTCATGTCCGAGTTCGCATGGGGTGCGCTCGGAGAGGTCACCATCATCGCGTGGGCTGCCCCGCAAAGGATCGTCGTCGTAGGGCCCGCCGCACGCAGGGCCCCCAACGACCTGCGGTCGGAGCATCGAGCGGAGCTCCTCCTCCGCAGCTGGCATCGTCCCATCGGAGTCTGCAGGTGCCCCCTCCATCTCGCGATCAAAGCCAGCGGGCGCGTTGAAATCCTCGACGAACTCAATGTGCGCAAGTTGCCCCGCGATGGGAATGCCCGACCAGTCCGCAAGATGGATATGGCACTGCCCAACGTTGATCTCCTCGCAGAGCTCGTCGGCACATCTATCGAGGGACACGCTGGCGCTTAGATACCTCGCGGCCATGAAGCGGGCAGCGGGAGTAGGGCTGTCTTCGGGCACGGCAAGAAGAATCCCCCAATCGACATTCTGAATTGCGGAATCGATTTGAGCCAAATGCATCGACTGACCCCAGCCCCCCCCATCGCCTCGGGGGCAATCGCGACGAAATGTTGTGTGCTATGGCAGATGTCACATCGCATGTTTTGTGTGGCGTCTTTCGGGATGCCCCGGCGCCCCTTGCCTTTTCCTGAGGCGCGCCCGCGGCCTCTACCAGTCTCCAGGACAATGTCTGCATATTGTGGTCCCGTGAGGGATGCCGAGAGCGCCAACATACCTCTGCCAAGTAATCTCCGACGTTCACCGTTACCTCTACCCTTGCCCTTTGACGCCCGTCGGGCCGCGCGTCGCGCATTTCGAACCGGTGTTTTCATAAAGCGTCTCCATCGGCGTTTGTGTTTCTGGTGTCCAAAGGATAACCGCTGCGCCTGCTGTTCGTCAGTAAGATGCACGGGCGTGTCAATGTAATCCAGGTTACCAATTCCATCGTCCGATGAGGCGTCACTGTCGGCGCCGGAGTCAAATTCGGACTCGGCGGGGCTTGCCCCGCAGAGCCCGCGAGGGTAGTGGCTTGGGCAGGGGCCGCCGTTGTCGACGGTCCCTGATAGCGAGCCCAGGAGTCTTGCGACCCCGTAGGCTGGCCACCCTGTTGGCTTAGGAAGGTGGGGCCTCAAGTGGTTGTGGATCGTCGTTCCAGACGTTGTTAGCAGGTTGCACTGCGTGAGTGTCGGCACGAAAGGCTTCGGCGCGATGGCCGCGGCAAAATAAAATACCCACATTGCCCGGAGTCCGCTCAGCGATATGAGCGCAGGATCTCATGCGCTCTAATAAGGCGTCGAACTGCTGTTGAGTCCTGGGCATTTGGTTGTTTACTGGTTGTAGTAGTTGCTGTGCGCGCGATGTACCAACACCCAGAGCTCTGAATAGTATAGCTGTTAGGATCTGGAACTTGAAAATGTTGAAGCCTGCGGTCTCGGCCTCAAAGCGTGCTATATCAAAGCGGGCTAACGTCCGGTCGATCTGCTCTCCCGCATGGACGCGAGAGTCGATGAAAGCCGTTCCAGAGTTAAGTTGGCGCTTCTCCTTTAGATTTTCAAACTTCGTGCTGAGGGGGAACATGATAAAAAGGTGACGCCATCGGTGTGGCGACCACCAATGTTAACGCCGAAGTTGATGACTGCGGGGGGTACCCTCATGGCAATGGTCCTTGCGAGCCCTCCCAGACCACGCTGTAGTGCCGCGGCCTGTTGGAAGGGGGTCATGGTGCCTGTGGCCACGTTGGTCCAAGCGTGTACCTCGCGAACAAACTCGCGGAAAGGGTACGTTACCGGCAGGGTCCCAGTGGGGGCCGGTAGTGCGTGCGTCGTCTCCGCCACGCTGCATGTGTCCAGCAGCACATCCGATAGCGACCCACTGGAAGCCAAATATGGTAATGCCAATCCAATGGCCTCGTAGGTCGTGGTCGGCTTTGTGTGGCTGAGGTTTATGATGCGACGTTGTCGTTAGCCTGCGTGGGAGTGGAGGCGGCGCAGCATCGTATCGCATGTTGCCATGCAGCGTGTTTCCGCAGAACTTTCCCATTGGAGTAGGAGGGTGGACTTCAGGCGTGTAGTAGCGCAGAGAGGTAGGACTCATGTAAGAGACCTCCGCGTGAACGGAGGTAACACTGCAAGTGTCCTTGCGGCTGTGCGTAGATATGTACATTCCTCCGCGCAAAGCCACTGCACCCTGACGTTCCACCGTATCAGTCGTCCACCAGATAGTGCTGCGGATGGTGAGGAGTAAAGCGAAAGCTGTCCTGCGTAGGACAGCTCCGCTACCAAGTTTGAAGAGGGCTGGGAGGCCCAACCAGATACTTCGCCTAAGGCGAAACCCATATCCAACTCTGTTGTGCCGTAGTAACAGTGGTCCCAAGAGTAGGAGTGAGTCGCGGGAGCGACGAGTCATGTCAAACGAAAATGTTTTCAGGCTCTCTGGCAAGTCGTGTGCCTCGCGATGAGGCGCAGTCATATCTTGGCGGCCGACCGCTTGAGCCCAAACGGCCGCGGACAAACGCTCGCTACCTCTCGCCTGTGCCCTAGCCTCCTTTAGAATAGCCCCCCTGGAGTCGCGCCAATTCTGCCGACCCAAACGTGACGGACCTTTTTGGGGCTTCGAAATTTACCAAAATCAAAGGAACATCTATGATTTGAGCTCCTCGGGCCTCTTGCGGGTCCACGAGTGCGTCAAGACGGCTCAAGGTGGCTTCAAGACGGGCCAAGGCGACCCCAATACGGTCCAAGATGGCGCCCCAAGAGGACCCCCAAGAGCGCCTCCAGATGCCAAAATCATTGACTTCCAATCGGTTATTGAATGATTTTAACGATCTCTCAGTTTTTGGACTCTCAGACGCCCATGACGGCCCAATCAGCCTCCAACGTTGCCCCAAGACGGCCCATGAAGTTCCCAGGACGGCCCCAAGACTGCCCAAGCGGCCCCCAAGACGGTCCGAAAAGGCCCCAAGAGAGCCCCAAGGCGGCCTCGAGAAGCTCCCAAGACGGTTTCCGCAAGGACCACCGATAGCGCAAAAACACAACAAAACGGCCCAAGAAGCCCGCACGGGGCTTCGAAAGACCCTCAAAAGGCCTCCCAGAAGCCGTCCAGAAGCCTCCAAATGGTCCCCAAGAAGGTCCCCAAGCGGTCCCCCAAACGCCCCCAAAGGTCCCCCCAGAGAGGCCCCCAAGAGCCCCCAAGAAACCCTAAGAGGCTTCCAAAACGGCTCCCACAAGACTCCCAGGAGGCCCCACAACGACTGGACTGTATGTGTTCCGCACGTGCACCCCGCGAAGCGAGAGGAATCTGAGCACCGAGCCCATCACTGCTGCGGCAGGGGGGGTGGGGGAGAAGGCGACCTCCCAGGGACAGAAGCCTGACGGACATCTGATCACTGCTGCACGGGGGGGCAGGGGGGGAGGGCGACCTCCCAAGGACGGGGGCAGGGACGGTGCGCAAATCCGCCCCTCTGGCGCGTGGTGACATGTGCAACTGCATCATACCTTCCCGGGGGGCTCGGCGCGGGGAGATTCGCTCTCCTCACGAGGCGCCTCCCCGACGAATGCCAGCGGGGAACAAGACGGATGTGTGAGAGCGGATGTGCCAGGAACCGCGCTGCTCGGGTGCTCGTGGTCCCAGCCGAACCCTGGACGACGAAGACTGATCAGTCAGGATAGCCCATGCGTAAGTGACTAGTGGCTACGTAGTGACCATGCTCAATTCCTGAAAGAGCTTGATACTATTGATACCCACCCCTACCCATGCAACTACGAGCAGCCAGCGTAGCCTTGCAAAAGAAGACCGCTTTCTAATCCGACGACTCTTCATGGCGGCGACGGCGCACCCTGTCCTTGCCTTGGCAGATCAGACAGCCCAACATGCTAGAGCCATAGCGTTGACGGACTCAAGTTGCGCGCGCCGTGCACGCATAATTGTACAAGCGGCAACCAATTCAATAGGCGACCTTATGCATCGTTAGGAAAAGCCCGCAGCCATGTCAGCCAGGGTGGGGAGGAACCAGAAGCCAACTTCGTCGTAACAAAATGCTGCAATTATCACAAGTTGAAATCTGCGCAGAGCCAGGCTTTTGAGCCGGCATGGCCGGGAAAGAGGGCGAGTAGGAGGAAGAGAAGCGGATCAAGGAGGAAGGACCAGAGAGGTTAACGAGGCGGAGGAGGAGCAGCAGCTGGGGCAGGAGAAGCAGGAGCAGACAGAAATGAGGGACCCTCGCCCACCGGAGCGACCACCACCATAAAAAAAAAACATACGTTGAGCGTGACAACGCGTATTGGAAAAAGACAGGCAGCATAAACATACATTTTCGCCAGTTCCCGCGGATTTCTTGGATATGAGCTGGACCCCCCTCCCCGGCGCGCGGATAGCGCCAGGGCGGCGCAGGTGGCGCCGCCGGGGGCGCTCCAGCGCAGATCCAAGAAATCCGCGCGGACCGTCGAAAGTTTATGTTTGTGCCGTTTACCCACATCCTTCGAGCAGTAGTCGAAATATGAGGGTACGGCTCGCTGCTCGCACGGCCGAGTAAGGAGAGGCCGTCAGACAACTCTGCTGCATGAGCGGGTAGAAGGGAGGAGCGGAAGGGTGGGCAGGGAGAGGAGCCGACGGCGACGACCGCAAGAGGGGCAAAAGGAACCGCTGATCTCTGGCAACGCGTGGGTCGTGCAGCGATCGCGTACCGCAGATCTTTCGATATCGGCCTGTACCAGGCCACTGGCGGCGTGCAACCTTGAACGCCCGAGCTGGCGTCGCCGCCGCGGCAACACAGCGCGAACCTACCGTAGCTGCCGGGTTTCGGTCCGCATGCGGCAGGACCTGCTGCAGGACCACCTCCGCAGTCTCCTCGGGAGGAGCCACGTGCGACGGGCGGGGGGATCGGGCGACGCCGGGGCCAGTGCGCGGGAACGCATGCGCGAGCGCCAGTCCAAGATCTCTATTCGCCTCCCCTCCTCGTCGTCGTCGCCCTTCTCCTCCGCCTCTTCCTCTTCCGTCTCTTCGCCCAAGAGCATGCAGGCCCAAGGCGCTGGCCAGCTGTTAGCACTGAGCCTGTTCACCACAGACCAGGGATCGAGCTAAACAACGTTTTTCGTTATCGTTTTGATTTCCTGTTCCTTCGTTCTGTCTTCGCTCAAACACAGGACCACCATGTTTCCAGCGAGGCCACTTATCGAATATCGGCCACCTCATTCTAACACAAGCCGCTGGAGGCAGACCACAGCATGTGCATGCATGACATGACATGGGAACCACCGTACAAATATACGCCTCCACGCATCATACGTATCACATACCAATATTACTGGACATTGGTATCTACTCAGGATCGATCAAGAGGGAGAAACGGTCACAGACCAGAGTTGGTCGGAACATATTGGTGAACACAGATTCCGGGGGAGGCCACCTCAAGGCTGAATCCTTAACGAAGCTCGAAGAAAAATGCACACACACACACACACACACACATCGCCGAGGAAACATGGAAGGCAGCATGGGATAGCGGAGACTCGCAGAACAATTTGCCTATTCTAAGTGGATGCGTGGGGGAAGCAGTGGCACACACATTCCCCGACACGAATACGCCCAGCTCCACCTATGATGAGAAGAGGGAAAACGTATTCATAAGAAAAGGGTGGAACTGGTACATACTGGCTCTAAGGAGTTCGAGGGACATGGCAGCTACAAGTAGCACGTCGACGACACAGAGGAGAAACAGTCCCACCTGATTGATGAAGTCCGCAGAGCATGGAAGTCGAACAAACACGCAGAGGTACACAAACTACGTGTCGAACTAGCAAGCACAGGACGGCGGCCAAAACAACGATACGTGCTCGGAGTAAGACGTGGCATGACGTGTCAGGAGTGGCGTGAGGGCCTCGGATCACCACTGGCAGGGCGGCGTGAGTGGACAAGCAGCTCATGCCGCCCGTGCAAAACTCCGATGGGCTGCTGGACCTCGTGAGGACCGACAAGAAAGGCCTTTCCTCTGACAAAGACCAGCCGCACGCGTACCAGCCTGCATACAAACTCGCTGGCCAACGATGGAGACGCTACTCGACCCAAATCCTCGCTATGCGGGAAGGGTCGTCGTCGTCATCCGAGTCGCTGGCATCAGGGAAGCCAAACAGGTCCTCCCACAAGGCCGTCTCAGCCTGGGAAACAGGAGGAGGAACGTGCTCCTGCCCCGCCCACCCCGCCCCCACTCCCGACCCGCTCCCCGCCCCAGAAGTCTCAGGGAGAGAGGGAAGCGGCGGCGCGCTAGCCGTCTCGCAGAACCTCCTCTTCTCCTCTTCCGCAGCAAAATAGGAGGCCCTAAAAAGAAGCTCGACTTTCTGGGGTGGCAGCCCTTCGGCAAATTCTGACGGCGATAAAATCGAGAGTCCTTCACCTGAGCGCCGAGCCGACGACGCCTCGGCAAGCGCTCTGCCGAAAGTCCCTGGCTGCGTTTCTCGGAATAGGCGCCGCACAGCGAACGGAAAATCATTGGCCCCGTCCGACGGAGAGCGTGCATGCCAACTCTATCCTGGCACTTGAGCTGGCGAAGTGCGAGTCGGCACTTCGCCGACCGAAGACAGATCATGCAACGATATCGGCGATCGCAATGTGCGACCGCGGGGTCAAAGCGAGAGCGCGGCCTCGGAGGGCCGCATCCCCCCTCAATGGTGCCGATCGCCCTGCCAAGCGCCTGAGCCCGCGCATCTCGCGGGGTGGCCGAGCCAATCCTCGAAGCAATGCGTGTGCAGAACTGAGTGGCCATCTTGATCGCACTGCGCGAAGCTCGGTGCGCTGCTCGCAGCGGCTCGGCGTCGGGGTGCATTGCAGCACCACGCTTGGCAGACGTGTCGGCCCTCCTGTTGCCGAACCGCTGCCGCTCAGTGATCGCACCATCCGCAACAGCAGAGGAAGGCGAGTGCGCTTTAACATGAGTAACCTCCGCCGCCTCCACACCACGGTCCGACACCAGACTCCAAACCTCCCTCCATAAGAAGGCCAAAGGGTCGCCAGCATCCGTGCCAGCGCCAGACCCTTGGCGCCAAACATCAACGAGCGGCTTGCAGTCGGTGAAAAACTGCATCTGAGCTCCCATGTACCGCAAAGCCATGAGGCAAATAAATCGCTCAGCAGCTGGCACAGTCTGAAACAGCGTGGGAAGCGGTCCATGCATTCTAGCGACTTCCTTCCACTGAGAACCGAGCGAGCACAGACCCCACCCACATCTCCTGAGGCGACTAAATCGCCCATGCACGCCCGAACCACCTCCAAACACATGCACATCGGGCAGCAAATCGGGCGACCGAAGGGCCCACACCACCTCGCTCCTCAAGGCGCGGGCTCGGGAACAGCCAGGAGGGGTCAGGGACCCGGAACCTGGTCTAAATCAACGAGAGGTCAGCTGTCGACTTCATCAACTCCAGCATCTGGCTGGCCAGCGCATAGCCAGCCTTAAACTCGCGACGGTACCCGGCATGCACAGGGCAATCATAAAAACGGTGCCATGTGGAGCCGACACTCTTACACGCAAGGCACTCTGGATAGAGACTCTTACCGACCGCCCCACCAGCTTCATAGAGCCTCTCTTGAGACCAGAAACCTCCCGCAAAAAGGCACTTGAGGAGCCCTCGGTGCCTAGGGGTCCAGCCGGGGCCCTTGAGCGCCGAGGGGAAGAGGAGGGACCTCAGAGGCTCAAGGAGAGGAGGATGAGGACACAAAGAGGCCCATGACGAATGCCTCGCCAAGACCTGCTGCCACACCCAGCGCTCTGTAGCTTCATCTGCCAACCTACCCCCCATCTCCCGGCGACATCTTCTCGATGAAGATGGGGCCTCGATGGGTCTGCCGGCGGAAAGGGTCCAAACACTTCCATCCGAGACGCATCATGGCGCCCGCGCGGGTCGATGCGGGCCCACGAATGTCGGACCAAACCTTGTTCTCAGGGAGAGCCGAAAGACAAGCCCAAGCCCCGCTCAGAAGTCGAGCCATATCTGCTCCCGGTGCCCAACCATCCCACAGCGCCTGCAGCCAGAGGAAGATCGGCCCACGGTTGCACTCGTAGGCTGGGTCGATCTGGCGGCCTGCAACTTCCTGCAACCATGAGATCGAAGGAAAGGGACCTGCCAGTATGCCTGTACACGAAACCAGCTCGAGCAATCTGCCTAGCCTTCAACAAATGTGCGTTGCTGACCCCATGCACTCCGACACCCCATAGCATCCCTGGCTTCAGGGCCGTCTGGACCAGCTTAATAGTTTTGCCCCCAGCTTTAGCCAGACGCTGATACCGAGGGACCCTGGGCGACATTTTGCCCAACCGCTGAGCCCGAACAGCATGAAGGACGCGATGGCCTCCCCCAAAATCAAGCCCCAAGTTGTGTGCCGATCTGGTCAAGAACTGAGCCGATGACGGGTCAACCTTCCGAACGACGCACCGAAGGTTCTGACCCACGACCGTCTGGTGCTTTTGGGGGAGCGAGATGGTTAGCCCAATCTTGAGCAGCTCGGAAGTGAGAAGGTCCTCAGCACCCTTAAGGTCGTGAGCGACTTCCCACGCATCCCCAACCCTTTGAGGCTGCAGACCATCAACCACAATCGCAAGGTCGACGAAAACGTAGCGCAGAACAGCGGCATCAGCAGGGGAGAGGAGCACGAGCCGCAACAAAGATGTCGCACAACTACAGCCAGCGACGATCGTGCGATTAGTCGAGGCAATTTCCGTGGCAACCATCTCGAAAAGGACCATCCTGTCCAGGCTGTACGTGACTAACAGGAACCGTAAAATCTTTCCAGAAAACTTGACGACGGGCAGCAGCAGCCAGCACATGATGTGGCACGTGTCCGTACGCTTTGACCGAATCCAAAAGCTTAGACCCCGCTGCTTTGCCCTGGTCCCTAGCCAGCTCCGCCTTGAAACTCTGCATCCAAACGCAAATATTACAGGATGCCCCAGAATCTCCAAACCAGTAACTCCGAGGGCGTTCGAGTTCCCAGGGGCCAGCGACTTTCCAGCGGGCCCACCTGGACCACATCCTTAACGGCGACGGGAAGATGCCAATCGGCCGATCCCCTCCATCTGGCGGCGGCTTGGGCAGCAGAGCGATGAGCAGCAGAGCCCAGCACCAAGGCACATAGAATAGCCGCTGCATCTGCTCCCAGATGCACAGGAAAACCGCCACTGCGCCTTCGTCCAGGAAAGACCAATGACGAGGATGAAGGCCACATGCACCCACAGCGGTGTGCGTACTGTAGGCCCTAGTCAGAGCAAGGAGTTCCTCGTGCGTTGGGGGCTCGAGCTCAGGTTCATCGCCGCGCCAGCTGAAATCAGGATCAGGAAATACTTGTCCTACACCCCAATGCTTATGCCAGTTTTGAGCTCGGGCTTCAGCTTCGCCCAAGACTCCCAGAGGGGCTCCCGAGGGTCCCGAGATACGCGAGAGTCCGCACGCAGCCCACTTGGGAGCCTCCTTGGTGTACCTGTGCCCAAGACGCGCCCCGCCAGTAAGAGCCTCAGCAACCCAATCCCTCCAGGCTCTGGCCCGCCCCGGGGCCGCGTGATGCTCGTGTTCTTGGGTCCACTTGCGGACCTGCCATATAAGCTCATTGGGCCCCGAGACAGCTGCTGGGTTGACCGCCGAGATGCGAAGCCTCCAGGATACCCAGTGCTTGCAATCAGTGAACGGGGACTCAAAGTGCACCAGCTTCCTCAAAATACACCCAGCTTGCTGTAGCCCCCCCAAGGTGGGCCGAGGCCCATGCCAGAGAAACATGATGTCTTGGAACCGTCTCTCAAGCACCCGCCACATCCTACCTTCCCCGATGGCCCTGGGATGGGTAGAAGCAGGTGGGCCTAGCAG